TGCGTGTACAGTAGAGCAAAGGCAAAACGTAGAGAAACACTGATAATTTCACAGCAACCAAACAACCAGTAATCACAAAAAATCAATTGACAATTTCATCGCAATGCATGCAAATTCAACCATTAGGCCACTGAAAGGGAGATTTATGATCTGAAATTGGGCCGTGGTAACGGCCGGACAGATTTGGGCTGAACACATTGGGCCGTGGAAGTTTTGGGCCTGTCTAGAGAGTGTTGCTCGGTCAAGGCTAGGCACTGACAAGGCGGTGCTTCACAGCACAAGGACCGGTCAAGTGAGGGCTAAGCCGAGTTGTTCGCTGCCTCACTGGGCTCCACGATTCGAGAGTTAGCTTCGTGGGAGCACCGACGTCCAACCAGCATGAGCTGAGCCGAGCTCGGCTCTGCCGGAATGTAGCCGAGCACGGTCGATATAGAACATGGCCTGGAGTAGCTCGGTTATGGAGCGCTTGGGCTTAAGTGTGGAATGGCCGTTGGTAGCCGAGATAATGTTGACCGGCTGCCGAGCTCCCAGCAGAGTAGGCTGGCAGTTGGGATTAGGTGGTGCTCAGCAAGATTTGTGCTGACGGATGGGATAGCAAAGCCACGTGTCGAGAGATCACTCAGAGTAGATTTGGGGCACAGAGGGTATATAAGCATGTCTGCACCCCCCATACGCGACAGATGAACATTTGGTGAGATTTACACTAAACACAACTCAGTCCTCTCTTCCTCTCTCTATCCCTGTGTGTGTGTCTAACTTGATCGTCGGAGGGGTTTTCCGGCCACACACCGCCGGGTAGCTCACCGCTGTTGTGCTCACAGGTCAATCAGACTGACAGGAGCTTGGAAGAAAAGAGTGCGGGCTTGCCTGAATATTTGCTCCCCGCACAATTGGCGCCGTCTGTGGAAACTTTGAAAGACAAAACATTGTCTTCCAGGCTCATCTGATCACCATCCATGGCGAACAACGACAAGATTCCATTGTCTGCCATCGACGGAGTTACCCCGGAGTCAGGCAGACGGAGAGAAGGACATCCCGCCATTCCTTTTATGGCGGACCTGGAAACTTCTCCAGGAGGACATTCAAGAGACGCGCGGGATAAGCGCGGAAGAAGTTTTGGACATTCACGGAGTCCAGACGGTCACCGGCGGCAGAGAGAATCGCACGCCAGGCGACTGGAACATAAGCTAAGGGACCAAGACGCCGTCATCCGGAGAATGGCGGCGGAGATGGAGGACCTTAAGCGACATGTCAAAAGGAAGGGTGTAGCTGGAGTGGGAGACCACAGTGAGCGCACCCAACCCCACCGTTCATGCAGTCAGAGCCAGCGGCGTACTCCGTCCATCTCAATCACCAGAAGTTACAAGGTTAGAGATTCTGACGCGCACGTAGAGGAATCCAGCGCGCAAGACAGCACCTATCAACCCTCACGTCCGGCAACTACGTCGAGGTATTCTTGTTCAGCTCGTTCAGAGGATTTGCAGGTAGTTTTGAAGGAACGGGCTTGCCGGCGGGAGGCTCAAAGGGTGCCGGCATTCCAGCGGCTATTCTATGGGGTTCACGCCAGCGAGGAGGTCAGAATGCCTCTACCCCGCCCAACCGCGACTCTCCTTGTAGATACAGACTTGGCAAGGCTGAGTGCCACTCCGTTCTCCGTGGATATTGAGACCGCACCGCTTCCGGCGGGCTTCCACCAGCCAAAGTTCACGCTCTATGACAGAAAAACCGACCCGTATATGCATGTAAGTCATTTCCGACAGGTCATGGCCAGACATAGGCGGAATGACACTCTTATGTGCTTGATCTTCCCGTCGAGTTTGGGCGAGCTGGGTTTGAAATGGTTCGAGAGGCTGCCGGAGGGGAGCATTGAGAGGTGGCAGCAGTTGGCCGAAGCCTTTGTGACGCGCTTCAAAACCAACACCAAAACGCCAAAGGAAGTTGACCACCTTCTCAGTGTCAAGATGGAGCCGAGCGACACACTGAAGGCATACAACTCTAGATATTGGGAAACCTTTAACGAGATCTTTGATTGCCCGGTCAACCTGGCAATCACCCAATACAAGCGCGGTCTCCCGGTCGGACATAGGCTGAGGGACTCGCTTACAATGAACCAGCCGCCATCCATGGGGCAACTAATGCAGCGCATCAATGAGCACATCCGAGTAGAGGATGATGCAGCGGCGTCCACCGCGAAGACAACCCCGGTGGCAACAGACAAAAAGGGTTTACAAGATAACCGGTTTGGCGGGTAAGGGGGCATACCACTTAGAAGATTTAGATGGCAAAGGTGTACCCCGGCCATAGAATGCGGCTGACCTCAAACTATTATATTCTTATCGTTCTTAAGTAATTTTTTGAGGAAGAACTTATTTCCCTTACACTTCTGAATATGATACTCTTTTTGTCAATGTAATAGAAGTGAATTACTTTTGCTGAAGAACTTTTCTGATTTAGCCGAGATGATTTACTCCGGCCAAATGAGTTGATGATTTGCTCAACTCTGAAGATTCAGTCGAGATGATGTACTCCGGCCAAATGAGTTGATGATTTGCTCAACTCCGAAGATTCAGCCGAGATGATGTACTCCGGCCAAATGAGTTGATGGTTTGCTCAACTCTGAAGATTCAGCCGAGATGATGTACTCCGACCAAATGGGTTAATGGTTTGCTTAACTCTGAAGATTCAGCCAAGATGATTTACTCCGGCCAAATGAGTTGATGATTTGCTCAACTCTGAAGATTCAGCCGAGATGATTTATTCCGGCCAAATGAGTTGATGATTTGCTCAACTCCGAAGTTTCAGCCGAGATGATTTACTCAGGCCATATGAGTTGATGATTTGCTCAACTCTGAAGATTCAGCCGAGATGATTTACTCCGGCCAAATGAGTTGATGATTTGCTCAACTCTGAAGATTCTGCCGAGATGATGTACTCCGGCCAAATGAGTTGATGGTTTGCTCAACTCTGAAGATTCAGCTGAGATGATTTACTCCGGCCAAATGAGTTGATGGTTTGCTCAACTCTGAAGATTCAGCCGAGATGATGTACTCCGGCCAAATGAGTTGATGATTTGCTCAACTCTGAAGATTCAGCCGAGATGATTTACTTCGGCCAAATGAGTTGATGATTTGTTCAACTCAAGGCTCTAGCCGAGATGCTTTATCCCGGCGGGATGCTTAGAGAAAGGCGGTGCGAACAACCGTGGAAGAGATCTAGGGAGTTTGGTTTTGGAAGTCGTCAGTCAGAAGGCCGAGAAAAAGGGGCAATTGACAATCATTTTGGTGGAAAGACCAGAGTTCCTTGTCGAACTGATCTTGCTCGCCAAGAAGGAAGTCGCGGAGCGGACCTTGCTCGCCTTCTCTGGAGTACCTTGCCGAGCTAATCTTGCTCGCCCAGAAGGAAGTCGCGGGGCGGACCTTGCTTGTCTTCTTTGGAATTCCTTGCCGAGCTGAGGTTGCTCGCCAAGAAGGAAGTCGCGGAGCAGACCTTGCTCGCCTTCTTTGGAGTTCCTTGCCGAGCTGATCTTGCTCGCCGAGAAGGAAGTCGCGGAGCGGACCTTGCTCGCCTTCTTTGGAGTTCCTTGCCGAGCTGATCTTGCTCGCCGAGAAGGAAGTCGCGGAGCAGACCTTGCTCGCCTTCCTTGGAGTTCCTTGCCGAGCTGATCTTGCTCGCCCACAAGGAAGTCGCGGAGCGGACCTTGCTTGCTTTCTTTGTAGTTCCTTGCCGAGCTAATCTTGCTCGCTGAGAAGGAAGTCGCGGAGCGGACCTTGCTCGTCTTCTTTGTAGTTCCTTGCCGAGCTGATTTTGCTCGCCAGGAAGGCAAGTTGAGGCTCCAGCCAAACAAGCCAAAAAACCGAGCAAGAGGAAGAGCGCGATTGATGTCTTGCAAACTAAGGACCGAGGAAGAGTCTACCCCGGTCAGATCATGTAATCTCAGTCACGCTTGCGCGGACGGAATTAAGGGGCAATTGAGAGGGAGATTTATGATCTGAAATTGGGCCGTGGTAACGGCTGGACAGATTTGGGCTGAACACATTGGGCCGTGGAAGTTTTGGGCCTGTCTAGAGAGTGTTGCTCGGTCAAGGCTAGGCACTGACAAGGCGATGCTTCACAGCACAAGGACCGGTCAAGTGCGGGATAAGCCGAGTTGTTCGCTGCCTTACTAGGCTTCACGATTCGAGAGTTAGCTTCGTGGGAGCACCGACGTCCAACCAGCATGAGCTGAGCCGAGCTCGGCTCTGCCGGAATGTAGCTGAGCACGGTCGATATTGAACATGGCCTGGAGTAGCTTGGTTATGGAGCGCTTGGGCTTAAGTGTGGAATGGCCGTTGGTAGCCAAGATAATGTTGACCGGCTGCCGAGCTCCCAGCAGAGTAGGCTGGCAGTTGGGATTAGGTGGTGCTCAGCAAGATTTGTGCTGACGGATGGGATAGCAGAGCCACGTGTCGAGAGATCACTCGGAGTAGATTTGGGGCACAGAGGGTATATAAGCATGTCTGCGCCCCCCATACGCGACAGATGAACATTTGGTGAGATTTACACTAAACACAACTCAGTCCTCTCGTTCTCTCTCTATCCCTGTGTGTGTGTCTAACTTAATCGTCGGAGGGGTTTTCCGGCCACACACCGCCGGGTAGCTCACCGCTGTTGTGCTCACAGGTCGATCAGACTGACTGGAGCTTGGAAGAAAGGAGTGCGGACTTGCCTGAATATTTGCTCCCCGCACAGCCACTTAGGCCTACACAAGCCCACCAAAAACAAAAAAAAAAAAAAATCTAGTTGTTTCAAAAACACCAACTTTTCAAAGACTTAGTTAGATAATGCATAAGGCCACTTATAATTTCACAGCAACCAAGCAACCAGTGATCTAAAAAATTCACAAAAAATCAATTGAGAAATTCATGACTTGGAGAAACACTGATAATTTCACAGCAACCAAACGAGCAGTGGTCTAAAAAATTCACAAAAATAAGTTGAGAGAGAAGATGAGAAATCAAAACCTTTTCTTGGCGCTTGGTTTGGCGGGGCTCGGTGTTGCGATCGGCGTAGATGAGGAGGTCGCGGACGTGACGAATGAGCTCCGATGGAGTCCGGGGCTTCGACTTGAAGAGTCCCTTCATCAATGCAGTGAAAACCAAAGCTCTCTCTGTATAATCTGTATCTATATGTGTACATATATCTTCTAATGGACTAGGGTTTCAGAGAAAGAATGGGATTATCTGTACTGTAGGACAGGCTTTTTGCATGAGAGAAGTTGGTTATGACCTACGAGATTTATCACTCGGACACTTGTTTCCTCAACGAGCTTGGACTCCTATTTTATTTTAATTTATTTTTTAATTGAAAGAATCAATTTTAAAAAAAAAATTATATTTGAAATACTTGGAAATTTTCAGTTTTTTAAAATGACTATTCAAATATCCTTTGTTTATTTGGCTACAATTTTGTGCAAAGTTGTGTAATTTTATCAAATTTTAGAGAAAAAAAATTCACACTATTTGGTTTCAACTTTTAGAATTCACTTTTTAAAAAATTCTGCCTTTTCATTTTCTATATATATATATATATTTTTTTTTCAATGAGATTTTTTAATATTTTAAGCAATATTTTTAATTTTTAGACACACCTAACATAAATACACTTAAAAAATATAATATTTATGAAAAAAATCTTTTAAAAAAAGGATAAATTACAAATATACCCCTTGAGATTTGCTTAAAATACGAATTATCCCTTGTGGTTTGAAAAATTACAAATATTTCCTTGTCAGAATTTTTTATTTAACAGAATTAATTGAAAAAATTTCTAACTATTCACCTATACAATAATAAAATTATTTGAATTATTAATTGAAATAAAATTTTAACATTATTAAAAACTATAAATTAACTTGATAATTTATTAGGATCTATTTGTTATGAAATTAGAAATCTTAGGGGCATAATGTAATTTCTAAAACCACATGGGTTAATTTGTAATTTAAATAAACCTCAGGGGGTGTGTTTGTAATTTACCCTTAAAACATTCACTAAATACAAAAAATATTAAAAGAAAATTGAAAATACAGTATATTTTTCATATTTTTATGTATTTATTAATTTATTTAAATATTTTTCACAAATATTTTACTATTTAGGGACATTTAAGAAAGATGCATTTAAAAATGTAAAAAAAATTACTTAAAATTTTAAAAATATTCACTAAAAATAAAAAATAAAAAACAAAAAACGAAAAAACTTAATTTTCAAAAAATTAAATTCAGAAAACTAAAACCAACTTTTTTTGGGGGGGGGGGGGTATTATTTGAAAGGTGTATTTAAGTATGGGGGTTTTAAAAGTCAGTGGTTTGTTTTAAATTTTTTTTTTCCTATAATTTTCGTATAAGACTGAAATTTCTCAGTTTATGTACAAATATTGTGATTTCATAGTTTTCTAAACAAAAAAAATATGGGCAAATTCATAGTTTTTTAAAAAGTTGAGATATTAGTTTTTATAAAATTTCACAAATTTCATACAAAAAAATGTGAAAATACACAATTTCTCAGACATAGGAATACTAAACCTATTCTAACATATCTATCAAACAATATCTATTTTCAATATAAAATTTTGATGGAAAAAGATTGAAAAATTTTATTGTTTTTATAAAATCAAGAAATTTCTTAGTTTTCATAAATTTCCATAGTTCCCACTGTGAAAATTTTAAGTTTGCGTAAATTATGAATTCACAGTTTCTTAAACACACAAAATTGTGAAAATTCATAATTTTTAAAATGGTTAAGAAATCCTCAATTTTTGTACAAAAAATTTGAAATTTTTTTAGTTTTCATAAACTTGGAATTTTGCTCAAGAACATAAGAAAATGTTTTTACATGATTTAATATATAACTTCGATATTGTTTGATACTTTTTGACAAAAAATAAATTTTAAATTTTTTTATATATAAAGTAGATATGTGCAATGAAAGTTATGACATTTTAACAATGAACAAAAAAAAAAAAAAAAAACACAACCTAATTTAACAATTAATGTCATCAGTATGGGACGCATTGCTAAACTTTTAACCCATTTTCTTCTCTCACAAAAAGGCAAAAAAAAGTCAAAAAGAAACTTTTAATCATCTTCTCAAAACACCCCTAAGTAAAAGTCGAGGTCAATTAAAAAAGAGTTAATTATTTAAAAGTATTATTTATAAATGTTTTGATCGGATATGTTCTATTTAAGGTTTTTCAATTCAATAAGTCCTATATAGTAAAATTTAGAATATTATCAGTTTTTTTCAATTTTTAAAATTAAGAATATTATCAATTTTGTATGGCAATATTTCAGATAATTGTTTCACCAACTGATGAAAAAAAACAGAATATGAGATTAAATGTTTTAATCATTCTACTTATTAGTTTGATTAAACTATTCAATAAAATCAAGAATATTATCAGTTTGTTTCAGTTTTAAAATTGAAAATCTTGTCAGTTTTTTATTTTTAAATTTTTTTCTCCAGTTTTGCAAATCAATGTTCCATCATCATGCTCCTTTATAAATATAAAATTTTTAGTTTTGCACAAAAAAAATAATTCAGTTTTTTCAATTTTTTCAAAAAAAATAAAATTCAGTGTGTTTGATTTCAATTTTCTGAAAATGGAGTTTTTTTGCTTTTCGTGCTTTTTTTTTTTGTTTTTAGTGAATCTTTTTAAAATTTTAAGCAAATTTTTTTATTTTTTTAGATGCACCTTACTTAGATGTATTTAAATAGTAAAATATTTGTGAAAAAATATTTTTAAAAAATAATAAATACACAAAAATAAGAAAAATGTATTGAATTTTTGTATTTTTGGTATTTAGTGAATTTTTTAAAAACCATTTCACAAATATTATACTTTTTAAGTGTATTTATGTTTGGTGTGCCTAAAAATATTTCTTTTAAAAAATTAATTGAAAACAAAAAAATATATATAAAAAATAAAAAAGTAAAATTTTCTGAAAAGTGTTTGTACATAATTTTTTTTTTTTTTTTTAGTTTTTTCAACTTGAAAGTTGATGTTTTAACGTGTTGAAAATCAAAATAAATATCAAATTATCATTTTTTTTATAGCTAATCATAAATGATAAACAATCATTACTTGAAAGGCAATTCCGACTATTAAAAATTTAATGAGATTTGAAGATTCAAAAAATCTTAATTAAGACTTAATAGAATATAAATTCATAAATTAAGATTTATGTGTAAATGTCTTATTCAAAAACAAATCTGTCCAAATCTTCACTAAAATTTTAAAAACAAGCACAACCTACTAAAAATTAAAATTAACGATATTGTTTTTCAAATTAATAAAAAGTCATAACACCTAATATATTACAAACACTATGGCATGATTTGTCACCAAAGACCCTTTTAAAAAAATTATAATTTTTTTTTTTTAAGATTTGAGTATTCTAACAAAATTAATTTGAATTTTTTATTTTATTAATTTAAATTTAAATTTTTTGATTTATTTTTTCAATATAAACTATTTACATATTTTTATAAAGTAAAATTATTTGAAAAGTGTATTTAAGTATGAAATACCTACATTGAGTTTAATAATTAAAATATTATTTTTTTATCAATTTTATTTACAAAAAATAAGCAAATGGTTTATATTGAAAATAAATTAAAATATTATGATATAAATTTATAAAATGAAAACTTCAGTATTTATTTTATTATAAGGTTCAAATTTTAAGATTTTTATTTTTATTTTTTTGGTTTGGAATTCTTCACAAAAAATAAATAACCACTAATCTCTAATTTTTTGCCCCACATTTTGGATTGTTCTGGGAATAACTGTTTTAATTAGTTTTTTGACTTTTTACGTGAAGATTTACAGAAATTAGAGAGAAATGTAACTTTTTGTAGTAATTTTTTGATTTTTTAATTATTTTAAGTAAATTGTCCAAATTTTAAAAATTAGGATAAATTATAAATGCATCATCTAAGGTTTGCTTAAAATATGAATTACCTCTGTTGTTTTGAAAACTATATCACGACCCTTGAAATTTCTAATTTCATAATAAATGACATATTCTTAATAAATTAAGTTTATAATTTCATAACAAATAACCCATTCTTAATAAATCATCAAGCCAATTAAGAGTTTTTAATGATATTAAAAATATATTTTAATTAAAAATTTAAATAATTTTATTATTGTATAATAGAGCAGTTAAAAATTTTTTTTTCAATTAATTTTGTTAAATAATGTGGTGGATCTGAGAGTGGCGGTAGTAATGTGATGGCATTGGTAAAATTTTAGTTTGAAAAATATTTTATGCATTTTAAAAGTAAAAAATATTTTTTTATCCATGTAAACTTTTTTTTTGTTGACCATAAAATTATATTTCATTGATTTTTATTTTTTATTATACCAAACATTAATAAATATAAAAAATGTTTTTCACTCAAAACGTAACGTAAAAGTCAAAACAATTGTTTTAAAAGGTTGCCTTTGATTTAGTTTTTAAAAAGAGTTTTGAATTATATGTTGAAAGATAAACTGTTGAAAAGAATTTTAAAAATTAAAAATTTGTTTGATTATGAGTTTTGAAAATAATTTTGGGATGATTTTTAGTTTTTTTTTTAATTTTATTTTTTTGTAGTTGAATAGATGAGTGTGAAAGAAAATTTGATTGATTAATGGGTAAAATATGAAAGAATAAGAGAAAAAATTATTTATTGCCCCTTGGGCAAATCTAAATGGTGCTTCAACCTAAGTATTATTGATTGAAATAATGGGTCCCATTACTTGTTTGTCCATTTGGAGAGACAATTAAATACTTGTCTAAATATGAATGGTGTGGAGTAATGCTTTTGGAGCAATGAATAATTTATGGAATGACAGAACAGAGAGAAAAAGTGACTGATTGATTTATTAATAAAAAAAAATGAGAGAGAAAAAATATTTTTTAAAATTATTAGTTTTTTTTTTTTTTTTTGATCGAAAAAACCACCATGCTTGGTTATCATTTTTCAAAAATATTTTTCAAAAAATTCAACTTTTTTATTTTCTATATTTTTTGTTTTTACTGAATTTTTTTAATATTTTGAGCAATTTTTAAAATTTTTAAACATACCTAACATACATATACCTAAAAATTTTAAAAAAAATAAAAAAAAACTTTTAAAAATTCACTAAATACCAAAAATACAAAAAAAAAAGAAGAGAGAATTCAGTACATTTTTTGTATTTTTATATATTTATTAATTTTTGAAAATATTTTTTTACAAATTTTTTA